TAGCTTAGGAACTTCTAGCTGACACAATAAGCCGTGAGATATATAAAAGGTACAGATACAATACAGAAATCTTTCTAGTAAACCCAAGAGAATGATCAGAAAAAATACTACAATTAAGAAGGCTAGAGGGCTTCCCTGGTGGCGCAGTGGTTGAGAATCTGCCTGCCAATGCAGGGGACATGGGTTTGAGCCCTGGTCCGGGAAAATCCCACATGCTGCAGAGCAACTAAGCCCGTGCACCACAACTACTGAGCCCACGTGCCACAACTACTGAAGCCCACGCGCCTAGAGCCTGCGCTCCACAACAAGAGAAGCCACCGCAATGACAAGCCCGTGCACCGCAAGGAAGAGTAGCCCCCGCTCGCGGCAACCACAGAAAGCCTGCCCTCAGCAACGAAGACCCAACGCAGCCAAAAATAAATAAAATTAATAAATTTTTTTAAAAAAAGAAGACAAGCTAAACGGCTCGGTATGACACCTCGCCAGACTTCAGCGCAACAATGGTGAAACCACGTCCCATCACTGCTCCGTGCAGGGAAGTGCACGTGGGACACATGCGAGACGTGCAACCGTGGCATCTTCTTCAACAGGCTTCCCAAGAAGGACAACGAGAGGCGAGGCTTGTGGCTGGCCAACTACCAGTGCCTGGACCCCAGTGGCCAGGGCCTGTGGGACCCAGCACCCGAGTACATCTGCTTCAAACACTTTGAGGAGAACTGCTTTGAACTGGTGGGAATCAGTGGGTATCACAGGCTGAAGGAGGGAGCAGTTCCCACAATATCTGAATGCTTCTCCAAGTTCCGCCCAACGACCAGGACCCAGGGGCACAGTTACCCACTTGGACCTCCTAAAGTCAGCCAGCTCCCGCCACGCAGTAAGCACTGCTCTGAGGGCCAAGGGCCCACAATGCCAACTTCTCCGCCTCCACCTCCTGACGTCACCTGCCTTCCGGCGGAAGAGGCGTCAGCCCCTGCCGCTTTGCCTACCTCCCCCGCTGAGAGGCTGGAGGCTCGCCTCAGTAGCGCCTTCTCAGACCTCTTGGGGCCCCTGGGCGCCCAGGCAGATGAAGTGGGCCGCAGCACTGATCCGGCACCCAAGCGGGAACCGGCAGCCGTCGCCTCTGGAGCCGAGGACCGCCTCCCCCTCGGCCTGCGTGCTGCGCCTCCCGCCACCCGCCGGAGCCTCCATCCAAAACGAGCCCAGCGACCGGATGGGCAGCGGCCTGCTCTGGAAGCGGCGGGCTGAGGCCGCACCTGACGCCCTGGAGAAGGCCCAGCGCCAGCTGCAGGCCTGCAAGCGGCGGGAGCAGAGGCTGACCAAGCTGCAGCAGGGGCGGCGCGGGAGAAGAGGGCCCAGGCGGCTGCCCGCCGGACTGTGCCGGAGCATGCGCAGGACTTTGCCATGCAGCTAAGCCGCAGCGTGGCCTGAGCGAGGGGCTGCCCGTCAGGGTCCAGCCTCTGCCAAACTCAGAATCCTCCTGGAGAGGGACCTGACCTGAGCTGCGTTCACCAGACCTGCCAGATGCCAAAATAAATGGGATTCTAGAAGGAAGCCCTGCTCTCTGGCTCAGCTCCCCACTCACCACCAGGCCTGTCTCATCGGAAAAACCCAAGAATGACGATTACTGACCTCCTGAGGCTGCTATGCTTGGCAAGTAGTGAGGGCCCTACAATGACCTTTCTGGTCCCTGGAGGGCAGGGATGAGGCATGTGGGGAGCAGAGGGACAGGCACGTGGGCAGCCATCCTGGCCTCGACCTGTGTCCTCATTTTCCTTCAGTTCAGCTGGAATGTGGAAGGCCTCCGCTCACCTGTGGTCATCAGGTAACTGTGTGAGGTGACGTACAGCACACGTGACCTCTGCCTCTTGGGCCTCGGCCACAACGGCCCCAAGAGCACCACTGAATTCTTTCTAGTCCTGGAAACAGCCACACGGTGTTGTGAAATTTGCTTTTGGGGGCCCTCGGAGTACAACTTCATTGATTCACATTATGTCTGGGAGAGTGGAACGGCCATTACAGGAGGCGGACGCAGAGCAGGGTTCACAGGTGGTTCCCGAGCCCAAACTCTGAGGCCAGCTGAGGCGCATCTTGCACCGCCGGCTGCTAGCTTGCAGGTGGCTACAGGTGAACTCCCATCGCCTCAGGGCCACCCGGTCACCAGCACACGGCACCCGGGACTCTTCAGCAAGGCCTGAGGAGTGGCAGGTGCTGCATTTACACGGGGCACAACCAGAGGCAGGAAACGAACTCTAAGGCCCAGAAGGTAGACCATCTTTCCCTAAAGTGGCTTCCTGGCAGCTGGGGCAGAAGGGCGCTTGTTCCCAGAAGGGAGGCAGAGTGGTGGCTTCTGCACCGGGCTGGACTCTCAGCACCTTCTGCCGGAACAGGGAAGGACCCGGTGGGGTGGCCTGCCCTCACTTTCCCGGCCCAGGCAGGAGCCTCCAGTGCAGCCCAGGAGCAAGGCAGCCACAGAGGGGCCGGGAGGGCTGGCTCCAGCCCCCCAGGGCTCCGCTCCGGTGGGGAGAGGCCAGAAGTCTGCCTGCATTCCTCCCACCGGCCTTCCAACTACCTGGCGGGGGCACCCCCGGTAGGGGTGGGGAGCTGCTGGCATGAACAGAGAACCAGGCAAGACTGGCTGATCCTGAGGCCTCTGGTGGCACGGCCAGGCCTCAGCTCCAGGAGACCGCGGACTGGAACCCACCAGTGGGGACTGTGTGGCAAGGTTTGTGTGTAGGTAGCACTGCTGTGGCTTTAATGGAGCAAGCCTATGACAAATACTTACGAGAGACAAAAAAAAAAAAAAATTGAACAAGTAAACAGAAGAGACAGCCCTGAATTAGAACCTGATATACACATAAAACAATAACTAGGAAATGCATTATTCAGTGAATAATGATGGGAAAATTAGATGAGCTAATTCATAGAAAATGAACATCTTTACTTACTTCCATAAATGCCAGATAGACTCAAGAGCTAAGTGAATGGTTAAAAGATTAATTTCTAAAATACTAAACATTAAATGTTGTTGAGTTGTTTTTTTTAATGTAGAAAAAATACAGGTAAATTTTTTAAAAATATTTATTTATTTATTTGGCTGTGCCGGATCTTAGTTGTGGCATGCAGGATTTTCGTTACCACGTGCGGGATCTTTTAGTTGCAGCATGTGAACTCTTAGTTGTGGCATGTGAGATCTAGTTCCCTGACCAGGGATCAGACCTGGGCTCCCTGCATTGGGAGTGTGGAGTCCTGGCCACTGGACCACCAGGGAAGTCTCCAGGTAAATTTTTATTAAACCTTTGAATAAAGAAAACATGAAGTTAATAAAAAGCTATTAAACGAATCACAAAGAAAGGGAGGGAGGGAGGGAGGGAGGAAGGAAGGAAGGAAGGAAGGAAGGAAGGAGTGCATGTAGATGGAGATTTATATGAGCATAGAGTACATCTGTCAAATACGTGAGAAATTGGTGAGCATGGTTTCCCCAGGGAAGGGAACTGAGGTGAAGGGGAGACTAACTTTTCAGTGTAAATCTTTTCCTTGTGTCTTTTGTATTTTTGTACCATGTCCATGTATTATCTTTTCAAAAAACTAAATAATTTAACTAACTTTAATTTCCAATTTAAAAAAGGAGAAACAATAAAGTCCCCAAAGACTGATAGATTTGGCTATCTAAAACCTTAGCATGTCAATAAGAGCAGCAAAACAACTAAAAATAATGTAACATGGGGACATATTCACAACCAATATGCCAAAGGTTGACATAATATCCTTAATAGAAAAAGATATTATTTCACCAAAGAAGGACCAAAAAAAAAAAAAAAAATGAAGTCATTTAAGGAAAAATAGACATAAGATACAGTGGGCAATTCCCAGAGGAGGAAATACAAATGACAAATAAAACGTGTGAAAATATTCAACCTTACTTCTGATCAAGAAATTCCAAGGAAAACAGCAATGAGATACTGTTTTTCACTGATCAAATTAGCAAAAATTAAAAATACTGTGTTCTTGCAAAGGTACAATGGGCAGAGCTCACTTTAACCCAACTGATGGGAGTATAAATCAGTAAGACCTTTCTGGAAAATAGTTTGGCAGTATGTATCATGAGCCTTAAAATGTTCCTGAGTTTTGTCTCAGAAATTTCCACTTCTGGTGAATCTGGACTATACATAATCTACAGCATGGAGAGGGCTTCACGCACAAGATATTTACTGCAACATTAGTTGTAAGAGTAGAAAAAAGATCAAGCTAGAGCCTGCAGTTGGACAGGAAAGCCCCACCACTTCCTGGCTCTAATGGCACATGACTGTGCAAGAGTCTAAGCTCTTCCCTGCTCTGTTTTGTGTTCAGTTTTACCAATCCACCACACAGAGTTCACAGGCCAATTTTCCAAGTTAAAGTGATGGACCTATTTTTCACATTTAGATTTTTTGAAGGGTCATATTACCTCTCCATAAAGATCATTAGGTATTTGAGGAAGAATTAAAATAGGAGAATGGAAGGAAATTTGGTTGGGGAGAGCTACAATGGACTTGGTAGTTATTTGAATTGAAAAGGAAGAGATGAAATGATAAGTTCTGTTATGTGCAGAAAGAGAACACTCCTGAGGGGAAATTGGAGAGTAATTTGAAACATTTCACAAAAGTTGCTGAAATGTCAGAGCAAAAAGTAAACCCTGACCTCTAATGAACTTAGAAACTGAAATAGCCTGAAATTTGAACCCACGTGCAAGTGAATAATTAAGCTCCTTTGGACTCTCTCTGCTCCCTGTCTGTGTATCTGGGATAGTACGAACCTGCTCCATTTTAGCACGTTTGCAAATCTGCCTAGTCCACAAAGTACTCATCTCCAAAGAAGGAGGTATTGCATTGGGCTTTACAACCTCATCCTTTAGCCGCAGTGTGGCACACCCATTTGCTAAGTGACTGAGTTCATATTTTGTAGGTCCTTCAAAGGATAACTTTCCAGAGTATTATTTAACATGAAGGTTTTCTTTCAAACAGGATTACCAAACCAATAACAATGACCAAGCAGTGGTTGAAATCTGTATCACACGAATCACAACAGCCATCAGAGAAACAGAGTCGATTGAAAAGCATGCAAAGGCCCTTGTGGGGCTCTGGGACTCCTGCCTGGAACACAACCTGAGACCGTCCGGGAAAGACGAAGACACTCCCCACGCAAAAATCGCGTCTGATATCATGAGTTGCATTTTACAGGTACGTCAGTGTTCAGCATCATGCTATTTGAGACCGGCTTGGCAGCTTAGGTGAGCACGTGGTGTCTCTGAACCGAGAGCCAATGTTTCTGTAGCATTCAGATACTGTAAAAAGACACCACCAACCATCAGTAGCTAAGCTGAGCAGGCTGGTAATTAATAAACCGGGAAGGTTGTACTGAGCCCCTACTGTATGCAAGACACACTGAGGGGAATTCAAAGTAACACCACAGCAAGCTCTGATCTATTTGGAGAGATAAGACGTGTACATATAAAAAGCTAACAGTAAAGCACTGTGTGTCCAGGTCCAAATGAGGAACATTGGAAAATTCAGAAAAGGAGACCAAAGAGGGGGTAGAGGCTGAGTTGAGGGGCAGTGAGCTTGGAATATGTGGAGAGAAGCGGCTAAGTCATTTTTAAGTGCATTTCTGTATGTACTGTGAATTTTCCATTATAATAATATTTGCCTGTTCTGACCATGTTTAAGTTCTTTCCTTTGGCATAAACATGAATTTGGAATTTTGGCTTAGCCATGAAATAATTATCTAAAATTAAAATGTTGGACAAGTCACATAACTTCTAAGCCACGGTTTCCTCCCTACAAAATGCAGATGAAGTGACATTGTGACAAATTTTACCAACCAGTAATGTTGATAGTTGTTTCTTTAAAAAGAATTCTGTGGTCAAATAAGTTGGGAAACACTGAATTCAGTTTTTCCCTTTTGAGCTGTCACAATGTTTCATAGCACATTAAAAGCTCTGAAAAGTTCTGCAATAAAGAAAGCTGGTTAATTGTTTAGAACAGCATTTTGCAGTCTGATTTGACCATGTAACTTCCTTCCCCATCTCACCCCAACACAACGTTTATGAGCATCCCTCAGAACTAGTGTTCTATTGAGCATAGGTCAGGAAATTCCAGCTATGTTAAAGTGTTTAGCACTGTGTGTAGCAGCTAATATTAGCTTCCTTTCTTCTGTTTTTCCTCACAGTTGTCTGTGTTTAACTGAAACATATTGCATTTTGTCTGCTCAGTTCCAGGACTGGTCAACTGAACAAAAGAGTCTCCACACACTATCATACTGTTTTTCCTTTGTCCCCAGGGTTAGAGATGGGAGGGGAGGAAATGGGAATTTCAGCGAAATTAATGGAAGATTAATGCTTTTGGATATAATAACAAAGACCTAACACACCTTTTCTTCATTGATTATTCTTCTATTTTTATCTTGAGTATTTATTAATTTTTAAATTTTATTTATTTTTTATACAATTTTTAAAGGTTACACTCCATTTATAGTTATTACAAAATATTGGCTATATTCCCAGTGTTGCACAATACATCCTTGAGCCTATCTTTCACTCAATAGTTTATACATCCCACTCCCCTACCCCTATGTCGCCCCTCCTCCCCTCCACTGGCAACCACTAGTTTGTTGATTATTCTTGACTATGTTATTGAAATACATCAGAAACCTAGATTATTTCACTCCAAAGTGCCACTCCAACAGACATTCAGACAGAAACTCATAAATCAGCCCGATTCTCCAGCTCCCCCTGTGATTTCAAAACCACTGGTCTAGATTCCAGCAGCACTGTCCAACAGAAATACAATGCAAGCTACAAACATTAGCCACATATGGAATTTAAAATTTTCTAATAGCCATATTAAAAAGAGGTGAAAACAGATTAAATTGATTTGATATTATATTTTCCTTAACCCAATATATCCAAAACATTATTTCAACATGTAATAAGTGTAAAAATTAATGAGATGTTTTACTTGTTTTGTCTACTAAGTCTCATAAATCCATTGTGTGTGTTAGCATGTGTTACTTTGCACTGGTCACAATTCAGGGGCTCAGTAGGTTCACTCGGCTCCTGTGTTGGTACAGTTCTAGAGAGTCTGGAAGGCTTTCTGGATGGAGATCGAATTTGAAAGGGTTATGAGCAATTATCGGGAATTTTACCAGGTAGGAAAAGTGGAGTGAGAGAACATTCCAAGTAGACAAAATAGATTGTACAAAAGTCCAAATTTGTGAAATGAGACCCAGATCAGAGAACTAAGCAGGCTGACCTTCCAAAATGCCCCAAAGTCTAACATAAAGGGGTGTTTCATTCTGGGTAAGGCATTATGTCTCCTACTTTAAAAAGGGGATGGTGGGGAGCAAATAAAAACGTGAAACTCACTGCTGATCAATGAGAATGAGTTTGTAAGATTGTTGAGAGCAGGGCCCTGAGGACAAGCACTGACATTTTGGGAAAGGACAGAGAAAAGGGCTAAGGGTTAGGCGTCTTGGTTGAGAGGGACAAGTGAGTCACAGGAGTGGGAGATTCTAACCTGTAGGGCCAGTGTGGTCACAGGGCGTCCATTGTGTGCCCTCTGAGCAGGCAGAAGGTGTAATAATGGAAGATGGAAAGCCCTAAATGTAAACTTGCCTTTTTCAGAGCAAAGTGCAGCAATTTGTCCAGGCTACCCCTAGGGGTGTGGTCCCAGAAAGTCATTTCCCACGAACCAAAGGCAAGCCTGTGGTTGCAGGTTTGGCATTTAGCTTTCAATCAGATTTTAAGGGGAACATTTTGGCCTGCGGTAAATATTGAAAAGAAGATTTTGTCCTACTTGTAAAATAGGTTCTTGTGGGAAACATGTAGAAATCCAGATGACTCATATTCTGTTTTGTTTTTTCAGTAAAATAAAACAGTAGGTCAACTTTAAAGTCAACCACTTAACATTTTTAGCTACACACACACAAAGATTCCCTCTCCGCCCACCTTACCTCCCAAGATAAGCAATCCCAGCCTCACACAACCTGATCAAGCAAGGGCCCACCAGTTCTTCTGCCCGTATTCTTAAACATTTTTTTTTTTTTCTGGCCACTTTGCTGTCATTTGAAGCTAAATATGTTCACACACACACAAGAAAAAACCTTTTTTTTTCCCTAAATTTCCTTTTTCAACCTACACTCAAACCTACTTCAGATGACCATTCCTATTCTACTTTTATATCTTTCTTTTTTTTTTTTTTTTTTTTTGCGGTACGCAGGCCTCTCACTGCTGCGGAGCACAGGCTCCAGACATGCAGGCCCAGCGGCCACGGCCCACGGGCCCAGCTGCTCCGCGGCACGCGGGATCCTCCCGGACTGGGGCACGAACCCGCATCCCCCACATCGGCAGGCGGACCCCCAACCACTGCACCACCAGGGAAGCCCCCTATTCTACTTTTAATAATTAGTGGTTATACTGCTTTCTTTTCTTGGTCCTGACTGTATGAACTTGCAACATTTACCTCAAAATAGTTTTAAAGTTTTCAGAATTCACCTTCTATACCTTCCTCAATGCAGAATCTGTACATGTATGAGGCATGCACTTGTGAGTTCTGGTTTCTTTTGTGGTGGGTGATACTATCCTGCCATCCCACCCTGTGTCCTTAGACTTCTGTAAAATGAAGGATGAATCAGGTGAGCTCTCAGATCACCTCCTAGTCTGAAATTCTGACTCCCTTAGGAGATGCTGAGAGGTAGAACAAAAGGCTTTAGAGCTTGAGGGCCTTAGAATCAGATACTCTTGGTCTTGTATCAGTGAGAGATTGGCAAGTTATTTCATCTCTCCAAGCCTCTGTTCTGCCATCTGTAAAATGGGCATAACAATACTTGCTGCTCACGAAGAACAATTTTATTATAAAAGCAATCTCCATTTGTGATCCAGCCACTATCTGGAAGTACCTATTTCAAACCACAGCTTCCTCTGACCAGGGTTCTATATGGAGTTGGCCAATGCTTATTTGTTTGCCTGTAGAAAAATCCTGAAAGAGTAGATACCCCTCTCCCCCTCCACAAAGCACATTACATTCTAGGATAAATCAAAACCTGAAGAGGGTTGAAGAAAATACACATGCATCTCAAGGGGGTTGTAATTACTGACATAACTGATGGGCTAGAATGAAATTCTAGAGAACTGACAGACCAACCATCATGATGTTGAGAGCCAATGCCTGGTTTTCTCCTCAGTACAAGTTATAGTGGTTTCAGCCTCTTCCCCAACCAACCAAATCGCTTAGCAGAGCTAATGCCAAGTAAGCTCTGGCTTTTATCTCTTCCTCCACATCTTCTCACACTGTTGATGATCATTTGAAGAGGGAGATAGCCAAAGCAGGGAGGAGGGAAGAATGAAATAGCCACCAAATTCACTGTGGGAAAATGCGAAAGTATCTGTTTTTCCTTCTTTATAGAAGGACCCCCCACTATCCATTCACCTTGATTCCACGCTTCAGTTTTCTTATTTCCTCTTCCCCAGTTAATGCTGCATGAAGATTCAAAATCTGTCCCTGGCTGGCATGCAAAATGCCTTAGGCAATGTTGAGAGCATTTCCTTTTCAGCTCTCAGAGGCAGGACTGGTCATGTTCATCTAGAAGTTTATTCAATAGGCAATCCCAGCTTTACCATTTACTGGCAGGGTGATCTTGGGCATTTCATCTTTCTGTGCCCTAATTTCCTCATCCATAAAATGAAGGTAAGAGTAGCTGCCTCATGAGTTTGTTGTGAGGATTAGATGGATAGACATTAAAAAATAGACATAAAATATTTAAGGCACAGGAAGTGCTTTATGAGGATTAGCTCTGGTTGGTATTGTCATCATTATCATCTGCAGGAAACTCTAAAATAGCATCAACACTTTGTCATTTAATTATTTATTTTAGCCATCGTTCATTGCCTGTCTCCCCCTGGCCAAAATAGAAGCTTAGTTTTATTCACTGATATGGTCCCATCACCTAGAACAGTGAATGGCACATAGTAGGTGCTCAAGATCATATTTACTGAATGAATTAATTAATGGACAAATGAACACATGAGTAGCTCAGGAGACCTGACTGCCCTCTGGCTTTTGTACTAGCCGTGCTTCACCCCAGAGTGGGCTCCAGTACCATTTCCTCACTTAATGCTGCATAAGACAGGGGCATGAAATGGGAGGAGATTGGGACACCCCCCTACCCCCCAGGTTCCTGAGATCCACTCCCTTATTGCCTGTCAGAAAATACACTGGGAAAACTTAAGTGGATGCCATTTAGATTTTATATATAGCCATGCTTCTAAGAACCAAGCATTTTATATATAAATCCAAAAATTTGATTTATCTGATCCATGATGGGGATGAAAGACAATAAAATAACCATTTTAATATATGGTATTTAATATTTCTTGAGATTACTCTTTTACGGCTCTTAGTTGAATTCAAGGCCTGAGACCAAAGAGCTTTTTAGTTGCTATCACCTCAGATATCTATCTCTTTTACTTAGCTTTCTTCTTTTCAATTATAAAACACTGGGAAACCTTCCCAAAGTGCATTTTCCAAAGGAAAATCTCCACCAACAGCTCAAATTGGTGCTAATCTAGTCAAGAAATAGAATTCTTGGCATCTGTAGAACAAAGCCCTCTTGTTTTGCTTCTACTGCTAGATATAACTGTCCCTATGAGCAAGTCTTTATTGCTACCTTGTACTTCACTGAATTGTTCCCTGAGTACTGAGTATTGAATTGTGCGTAAGAAGATACACATGCCATCATGCTCACATCTACATGGAGGGACAAGATGTAGCATAAGCTCTGGCATTAACAGTTGCTGTTAAAGTGGTTTATTTGTACGAGCAATTACAGGGGCTTTGTCTGCATGTATACCATTAGCATTCCTGGGATCCAGATAATCATAGAGATAAAATAATTTCAGGGGCCTGAGATCTACTGCATTAGCAAATCCTTTTGCTTCACCTGAGAGCAAAGCTCAGCCATTAGAAGGAGGTCCATAGGACCCATGTTTGCCCAGCCTCACCTTGGCCTACCAACCCCTCACTCATATCCTGTTGCTGTCACTAGTGCCCATGGTCTCTTGAGACACTAGGAACTGTCTAGATGCTATTTAGAGATTGAGAGCCTTTGGTGGCAATTACTTGGTGTTTATATGAACTGTTTGCTCTTTGCTTAATGTTTCACTTCTCTTCTCATTTGAGAGATTTCCAGATGACATATGTGGGAGGAAAACAGAAAAATTGAGTGTGTTATAGTTTTGTTTTTTAATAATGATATTATACATTAAAAATTTTTTTAATAATTTTCACGTGGAACCACACTTCAAAGACTTCAATAGCTGCCCACTATTTTTCCCTAAGGCATCTAGAATTGTTGTAAAAAACATATGACCAAATTGGTTAAGACAGCCTGTTCTTTCATTGTTGCTGGCAAACGTTAGCTCATTCCCAAGGTTTAAAAACATTAGTTGCTGTTAATATGATTTTCACTGATCTTTTACTATGCCTGTCAGTGTTCACAATTAGTAGGAAACACTTGAGTTGTACTTCCAATGCCACCATCGTGGTTTCTCAAAACGTTACAGGTAAATATGCTTAGAGACATTTTCCTCCAATGGAAGGCGTATACTTCTCTAGCTGCAAGTTGTTTTGGCTAAAGACAGAAAAGATAAAGTAACTGGGCCATGATATTCTTTGTTGGAAAGCTCTAAGAAGAATTGTGTGATTGTGTTCCACTCTCAAAACTACAGCTTTGGCAGCCATGACAGGGACAAAGATATGTCATGTAAAAGGTAAACTAGCAAAAATCTACACACTATGGAGAGATTGGGGCAACCCACGAAAATTGATAGATGAGACGGAAGCGTTTGGGAAATACTCTGTTCAAATTGGAGTATAACTTAAGTGTAACCTTAAGGGAGCGGGCATAGAACAAGATTATAACAGAGAAAATCGACAAATCATTCAGGCTTCCTAAACACCACATGTCTGAAGTGCATGTCAACAAAAAGAGCATGCTCAGTATGAGGTCATTATTTTGACACATTTCCTCAGCACTGTCTGGGGGTGGGGGTGAAGGGTGGGTAGAGACTTAATCTGATGGAGAGGAAAGTTCCAATCACCAGACATGGGGATTCGGCTGTAGGGCAGGACCGTTAGGTTTCACCATGGCGTAGATGAAATAGCCCTCAAGATATTCCTTTGCTCTGATCTGCTCTTGTGCCCATGAGTGAACATTCTGGTTAGTAATCTGGCTCCTGATTTCCTAATGGTGTGAAAGGGTCTGACCTGAAAACACTGTCACTGTGAGAGAGTAAATTGGCTTACCTGATCATGCACCAGCCTTTTGGAAATCCCTCGGTGTGAGTTTCCCTCAGTGGATGCAAACAGTTCTGTAAGGCCTGGCCAAGTACACAGGCAGACTTCTAATGCTGAAGGGTGGGGAGCAGCCAGCCTCCCAGGGATGCCTGACAGCTCATCACTCCAATAATGGCCCAGTCTAATCAGGCACAGTTAAATTACCAGGAGGGGAGACACTCTAGATAAAGCCTGATCTGAGAGAAGTCTGGCTGCAGGCCCTGGTTCTGATAGTTAGATGGTGTTAGGAACTCTAAGAAGGATAAGACAGAGACTTACTGAGTGGAACTGATACATAAACACATGATTCGTCACCAAGGAATAGGGTCAGAGCTTTCATCATGGCTGACTTCATGGTGAGACATCAACTTAGGTTGTTGAATACCTATTTTCTCTGCTCAGGAGTCAGACTGATCCTTGAATCTGAAAAATGGGTGGAACTACAGGAATGGATTATGGATTTATCAGGTCTATTTTTGTTTCTAGGGACTGGGAAGAAAAAAAGTTTAAGCATAAGAGACTTAACTGGCTCACTTAGAAAAATTTAGGGATAGAACTGGCCTCAGGCACAGCCTAATACATGGGGCTCAAATGATGCCACCATGTTTCTCTTAACTTGTCTCAGATAGATCCATGTTGCCTTGAATCTCATACAGATTCTCTCCTACTGAGGTCACAAAATGACAGCTACTCTTTTTTTTTTTTTTTTTACTGTATTGTTTATTTGTGGCAAACTGTTTTTTTCGTTTGTTTGTTGGTTTGTTTCTTGCGGTACGCGGGCCTCTCACTGTTGTGGCCTCTCCCGTTGCGGAGCACAGGCTCCGGACGTGCAGGCTCAGCGGCCATGGCTCACGGGCCCAGCCGCTCCACGGCATGTGGGATCCTCCCGGACCGGGGCGCGAACCCGCGTCCCCTGCATCGGCAGGCGGACTCCCAACCACTGCGCCACCAGGGAAGCCCTGACAGCTACTCTTGATCTTCCATTCTCAGCATTTTGAATACAACAGAAGAGAGAGAGTCTCTTTCACAGAGCCCTTGAATGGCTCCTGCATTATAATTGGGTAACTTGCCCATCCCTGAACTTATCATTTGGAAATGTGATTCTCTGGTTGGTCAGCGTCTGAGTCATTTGACGGCCCGTGAAGCTAAGGGTGTAAATGCCTTCATTAGAAGTACCTGGGAGGTGGCCGTGGAAGTCCTATTTGCTAAGGAGTGTGTAACAACTCACCTGCCCAATCAACTAGCCCTGAAAATGGATGGCACTGGAGGCCATTGCTGGCAGTTGGTGACCCAAGCAAGAAGGTGGGAGCGAGCAGGCCCTTTCCCAACCCCATCACCTGCCCTTCCTTCTTCCCACCACATTGTGTTCCCAATCATAACTACCACTATAGATTTGTATTTTCTTCATTAGTTATTCAACTTGACAAATGTTTATTGAACACCTGCCATAAACCTAGAATTGTGGGAGGTATTAGAGGGGATGATCTATGGGTAGAAAGATAGAAGCATTTTTCACATGAACGGTCAGAGAAAAACAACCACTTTTTATTTCTAATGTAGTAATGTAAAGTTGAACAAATTGTGCACTGTGCAACTTTTGCTTTATAGTTAGCCTAAGGGGTGGGGTTGATGGTTAGAATGGTTAATGGCAGGGAAGACATATCATTCATTTGTAAGAAAACAATTTGTATTTTCCAAATAGTATTCCCTAATTAGGTAATTGAATGCTGATGGCACTATTGTGTATGTAAGGATATTGATGTTCAGTCACAAAGTACATCAAAAAGAGAATTATTTCAGGATCCAGAATTCCTTTAGTTTTTAGCCTTACGTTCATTCATCTTTTTCCTTCCGAATCTCAGTCGAAACTTTAGTTTTTAACATACAGTCAGGAAGCAACTGATTCAACATTCCGTAGGTTTTTTTTCTCAAGTATAAATCTAAGTTATTCCTCTCATCAGTGACTCCTGATCACCCTAAAGATCAATTCCAAACTCCTTAGCATGGTGCCAGACCTTTCATAATCAAGCCTGTTTACCTCTCCAGTCCCCTCTCTCATCTCCTACCCCAGCTTTCCCATGTGTACCCCACATCATCCATACTGAACTATTTACAGTTCCTCAGATGCACAAGTTCTCTCACCTCTCTGCTTTCACACACGCTTTTCCTTTTGTCCACTCCTTTCCTAGCTATCTCCCAGCCATTTCCTCTTCATCCACCAGGTCTCAGGGAAGACATCACCTCCTCCAGGAAGTCTTCCTTGACACCCCCTTCAGACTGGATTAAGCGCTCCTTTTTTGCTCCCTTATCCCCCTGCACATTCCTTATCATGGCCCTCATTAGCCTATGCTATTAAGCGCCAGTTTGCCTCGAAGTCTCCCTAACAAGAACAAGAGTTCCCAGAGTTCCCAAATACAAGGAAAATAAGGCGGGCCCTGTGTTTTCACAGCTGCACTCTGAGAGCTTAGCTCAATAAATATTTTTCGGATGAATGAATAAATGAATAAAGAATGAACCACTTATTATTTGTTGATTTCTTATATTTCCTCAGAATTATAACCGGCCCCCTGTGATGGCATTAGCCATCCCTATTGCAGTGAAATTCCTCCACAGAGGCAACAAGGAACTGTGCAGGAATATGTCCAACTACCTGTCCCTGGCTGCAATTACCAAGGCAGACCTCCTGGCCGATCACACAGAGGTTATAGTAAAGAGCATACTCCAAGGTATGGTGCAACGGCTGAGCTTGGGGACGTGTTTTAACAATCATTTTAAAGTATTTTCATGAAGCAGTTATGGTTTGTGGAAAGTAAGACTTTGAGTATTGAGAGGTACATTAGATTCTCTGCTTTGCCACTAGGTGGCTGGGGAACATGGATAAGGTTACTTGAGCTGGCTGAGTCGGGGTCTCTTCACCAGGCAGATGAATTCTTTGGACTCATTAGATGAGTCGCACGCTTCCTCTCAACTCTTCGTGTCTCATTTGGAGAACTGTGTTTTCCGTGCTTCTGGTAATCTTGTCCAACTACCAACTGGGCAGAACCTGTCTGTACTAAGTGGAATGTGTCCCACTGCTGTCGGTGGCAGATGGAAAAGCTCTTCATCCTTTGTTTTCCAAAAGCACAAAATGCTAGATAAAATACACCAGAGAATGTGTAAAGACCTCTTAAATGTGAACACGATTTGGGACTGATTTATAATTGTGTTAAATACTACCATAGAGTATCAAATGAGGACATCCCTGTTAATGTTTTCATATTTGTATGAAAGAGATCAAGTTAGTGCAGTCAGAATATTCTCTTTTCTTGTATTGTTTTCCTTTGGTTTTAGATCTATCAGAAACCTTTTTTTGTTTGTTTGTTTTTGGTTTGGGATCAAAGAGCAATATATGGTATTATTTGATAGGTACCCAAATATCCCCAGCCATATAATGTCTGAGGTCCATGAGTATCTTGGCCCACATTTGACTGCCACAGGCCCACATACTCAAATGGAGCATCCGCCTTCTGGAAAGTGCTCCCAGACCAAGTATTTCTGAAAGGCCCCAGTATTCTCTTCTTGCCACAGCATAGTGTGGTGATGCCCATCTCTGCCACTCTGAGCCCAGCAAACTCTGTGGACTGCTACCATGGAGGCCCCAGGAATGGACTTGCCCCACACTGTCCTGCCTGGGATGGCAGCCTCTGTCCCTTTGTGCTGTTACCCCTGAAGTTTCAGAAGCCACCAGTCCTCAGTCCACTGTGGTAGGATGGGGAAGAGAACCTGTCTTTCCCCTTTGTGTTAGGCTTTGGTAGACAGCCAGAGCAAGGTTGCTTGGCTCCCAGTGTCAAAGTATGGTACTGAGTTCGCAGTAGAATATGTTGTTCCATTTGATCTAAAACTCTCTCTTTCTTCCCTGGGCTCAACTATCCACCCAAGAGTCAGGCTAGTAACAAATTAGTCCACCAGTTCTCAAAATTTCTACAGCCCACCAAGGACCAAGATTTTGTTCACCATACCAGACATTCCCAAGAAGAGCTCTTAGTACCTGCCCCCAACCCTGGACATCTGACCAGCCACCCCAGTGGTCTGCCAGATGCCCAGTTTGTCTGAACCCCAACCATGACAGTGGGGTTTGGCTACAGGACTGAACTGCTAATTCCTCTTTATGCATGATCTAAATTTGCTAAAAGTCCAGGAAAACAATTATGCTTTTTTCACCACCTTGACTACATATTTGGTACACATTTTATAGAAATTACAAACACACACGCCACACATTTTAAATCCATGATAGTTAGACTTGCAAGTAACTGATTTATGAGGGGAAAAAATGGAATTGTCTCTTTGCACCTGCCAAGAACTTAACTCATGTATTTGTTTTGTTTTGTTTTTTGTTTTGTTTTTTTGAAATGCACTTTCAATGACAAAGATATCTTTTGAAACGCAAAATACGCTTTCTGAATTAACGGCTAGTATTTAAAATAAACAAATGATTTCGTTTATTTGATCTGGCACTATGAAAATCATCATAAAATAAATGAAAATTTAACATATAAAAGGTTGGGACTAAATATTTCAGGGTCAGATTTTTAGGACTGATGTGTGTGTAAAACTCTGCAATCACTCACATAAGCCTATCAAACTCTGATTTGCAAAATGGAAGGGATCTTTGTGTCTCTGAGTAGTAAGTTTCCTGCTCTGCAAATCTTTGTCATATATCCCCTGCAAAACAGCCTTAGGAGGCATCATTGGGATTTCTTTTTTCTTTACATATAGTTTTCTCCCCTTTCGATTTTCCTCCTTGATTTATATTATCCTAATCCTTATTTTCCCATTTTTCTACTTCTGCAGAAAATGCTAAAGTGTTAGAGTTATTTGATTTGATCTGCTTTTATTAGACTAGAATTGTAAAATTGTAGAATCTTAGGTTGATTCAACTCAGTTACCCGGGCAGTGCTTGAATCCCCACAAAATTGTCATCCATTCAGTGATAACAATAATAATTATAATAACAGTAATAACTACAATGGCTAGAATTTATTTCATACTCTCTTTATGCCAAATGCTGTACTAAGCATTTTATACTGGTTAAATCATTTAATCCCCACAAGAATTCCATAACAGAAGTCCTATTATTATCCCATTTTACCAATTAGTTATAGCTTAAGTAACAGAAACCCAGGTATAAATAGCTTGATGATGATGATGAAGAAGAGGAAGAGAAGGAGAAGAAGGAGGAGGAACTCCTTACTGGCACACATGACTGAAAAATGCATGAATGTATCAGACTTCCCATATGGATTGATTCAGGACTCAAATGTGGTCCCAAAAAGTCATTACTCGGTTCTGCTTCCTGTGGATTGGTTTCACTTTCATGTTTCATATAATGGGCCTCTCTCATCATGAGATCTCACATGAGCTCACATCATCATGAATACCAGTTAAGAAAAAGAAACTCCATATCCAGTCTTACTGTCCCTGTTAGACCACATGCCCATTTCTGAACCAATCCATCATTGCTGCTGGGAGATACAGTACTTCAACTGGCCGGACTAGGGTCATGAGCCACCCTCAGAGCAGGAGCTGATAGTAAACTCAGCAGAACCATATGGATGAGGAGTAGATAACCTGAAAATCCAGGACTGTAGCCAACAGTGTTGTAAATTAATACTGGGTACCAAAAAGTAGCCTTATGTAAATATTTACTTTTATCCCTTCATACTTATTAAGAGATTCAGTTCATTTCTTTGGCATGCCAAGATCTCACTGATAATGATCCTCCATTTCAATATATCTCCAATTCTTCCAAGGTTCTTGTCATCTGTAAATTTTATGAACAGAATCACTCTATCTTCATTTTAAAACGGTAATGAAAAGGTAGACCCAATGGGGCCAGGCAAGCCTTGTGGTGTACCAGTGGCAACTAACCCCTTACCCTTGGTTGGTGTTATTCCATTGATCATATTTTTTCAATTGTGTTATATACATGTCTATCCCTAATTCCAAACCAAATGCGTCCTTTAAGCTTAAATAAATCATGAGAGAATGTCAAATGGGGTTAAATATTTATCCCTGAAGGCTAGTTCCAAGCCAATGTTTTACTACTTCCCATTATTAATGGTTGTATATGAGTAATACTATTTACTTTTACAGTAAATGTAAATATGAATTCATTTATTCAGATTGCTTAGACTCCATTTGTCTGTTTTGTGTTCTTTGAATTCTCCCAGTGAGAAGGAAATTCTGAAAGTCCTTCTTTTTGGAGAAAGGATTAAAGGCACGAGCAGAATGTTGTCTTGATTTGTATTAATACTTGAACGCTAAGGAGATAGAGAACCTGAATGTCCCTATATCTAATAAGACAATTCTGTCAGTATTTTTAAATCAACCCACCAAAAAAAAAAAAAAAAAAAGCCTGTCACATTTAGTATTATATGCAAATTAGAACAAATATGCAAGGAGTAATTACAGTCTTATCTAAACTTTTTCATATAATTAAAAAAGAAGATAGGGAGGGTGGGAGGGAGATGCAAGAGGGATGAGATACGGGGGTATATATATGTATAACTGTATATATGCTATATATATATATATATATGCTATATATATGTGTATATATATATAACTGTATATATGCTATATATATGTGTATATATGTATAACTGATTCACCTTGTTATAAAGCAGAAACTAACACATCATTGTAAAGCAGTTATACTCCAATAAAGATGAAAAAACAAAGCATTATGGGAATGTATGGGCACAGATTTTTGTATAACAATATTAATGAAACTACAAAACAGAACCTAAAATACTGCTTTAACGAGTACGTGCACAGTATCTTGCAGGTGAATCACAGTACAGTTTCCCTTTTATTCTGCTTGCTTGGTAGTTTACACATGTTATTATATATGCCTGCCTGCACTTAGCTGTGTTGACAATAAATTAATGTGGTAATTTAAAAAAAAAAGTACATTCTCCAGCTAATTCTATAAGGCTGGTATAGCCATGATATCAATACCAAAGGACAATATAAGAAAGGAAAATATAGACCCATCCTAATTATAAACAGAGATGCACAAATCACAAAAATTTTAACAAAGTGATTCTAGCAATGCATAAAGAATATAATAGTTAACATTCGTTGAGTTCTTGCTCTGTACCAGGTACTAGTCTTTTAACTCATATAATTCTCCTAATAACTTATGAGGGAGGAACTATTGTTATCCTCTTTTTATAAAAGTTATCCCAGGAATTCAAGGATGACAATATTCAAGATGTAATTCTCCACGGTAAAAGACTAAAAGGGAAAAAAGTCATTTGATCAGTAAAAGCATCTCATAAAATTCTGTATCCATTCATGAAAAAAAATAAAGAATGCAATCTAGGAATTTTGGAGAACTTCCTGAAACATTAAGAGGATATAATATATATATATGTATATAACTAAGATATATATATATATCCTTTCCTTTTGTAAAATTCAAAGTCTGTTCATGATTAAAAACAAAAAAAAAACCTCTCAGCAAACTAGCAATAGCGGGAACATCCTTAATCTAATAAAGGATATCTGCAAAAACCTACATCTAAAATCATACTTAATGAGGAAATGTTGAATGCTTTCCCATTGAATTAAAAAGATAAGACAAGGATGTCCCTTGGGTAATTAATTTGTTTTCTGCTTAAATCATATCAGGGCAATTTAATATTTTGTAACATCAGAACCTTTTCAGAGTGGGAGATAC